GGTCGGCCGTCTCCAGCCGCAGGACGGCCCCCGTCTTGCCCCTCTGTCCTCGCCACCAAGGTGGATGGGGCAGTGCTGGCCCCGAGCCTCCCGCCGGCCCCGCGGGCCCACCTTCACCCTGGGAGGCTGGGAGCGCCCCCACACCGTGACTCACACACCCTACAACTCACTCACTTGGAGTGCGTCGCCCCGTAGTCCTTCGTGTGTGTTCGGGGCTGTGCCCCCACCGGCAGTTGAGAGCACGCTCACCGCCTGGAACAGCCCGGTGCTCGCTGCCTGTCGCTCCCCGTCCCGGCCGCCCGCCAGCGTCCCTGCAACCACTCCTCTGTTTTCATGCTCTACGGATCTGCCTGTTCCGGACACTCGTGTCAACGGACTCACACCGTGTCTGTCCTTTTGTGTCCGGCAGCTTTGATTCAGGGTCCCTCCACGTTGTAGCGCAGGTCGCTCCTTTTTACGGTTCAATCGGGTTCCATTACACGGACACACTGCTCGATCACTCATCCACTGATGGACATTTGGGGCGCTTCCACTCTTGGTCCAGCAGGTTTACAGGGCTGAGAACATCCGTGTGCAAGGGTTCGTGTGGACACACATTTTCCCTGCTCTTCAGTGAGCACCTGGGGTTCCACGAGGGATGGAATGGCCTGGCCATGTTACGTGCAAATCCTCTCTCCCCTCTTGGGGTCTGTCTTTCCACCTTCCCAATGGTGTCCTCCGAAGCACGTCCCGAGTGCCGGGAGCACATGGAGAATCAGGACCCTCACACGCCACGGGTGGGAAAGCAGAATTGTGCAGCTGATTGGGAACTGGTCCAGCTCAACGTCGAGCTGTCACGTGGCCGAGCCATTCCATCCCTCGTGGAACCCTTATCCATTCTTCTCTCTCTCATTGCTCATGCTTTTAGTGTCAGATCTAAGAATCCTTCACCAAACACAGATCGTGAAGATTCACCCTGTTTTCTTCTACGACTTCTATAGTTTCCATCTCTGATTCATGTCCCGTCAGCTTCCATCCACGGCGGGAGAAGGGGTCCAGCTTTGCTGCAGTGCATGTGGCTTCCAGTGGTCCCGGCACCTCTGTCAACAGTCAGCTGACAGAATTCGTGCGGGTTTATCTCTGGACCTTCACCTCCCCCCCGACGGAGGACCCCATGCTCTGCAGCACCCATCTGCGCACAAACCTTTCCAACGTCTGCCCTGCTCTGTGTGTCGTCGGCAGGGCACCCAGGCCGCACCTGGGACACGGGTCTCACCCACTGCTGGCAAGAACGTACGGGGGATGCTGGTTCCTTAAGTCGGGTAAAGCAGGTAGGGGTTTAGAAAAGGCGTCAACACGTTGTACCTCATGTGCAGAATTGACAACCTCCCATTTGTGGATGAAGACGGGGGCTCAGCCTGCCAGCGCACAGGGAACTGCAGACGAGAACTTCCACTCCATCCCCGGGACTCCCGGCACCCCAGGCTCCCCTAGAAAGGAGGGGCGTATTACAAGTTCTGAACTTCCCTCGAGGGCACACGATGTGCCGTATTCCCCATTCAGGAATAAAGGGCAAGGTCACCCCTGGAAGACAGGTGGGCTTCTCGGCCAGGGGGGCCTGGCAAGGATGTTGGAGAGCCTGGCTGGCTGGGCACTGACGGGACTGGTCACTTCCTTGGAGCCTCTCCAGACAGAGTGCCAACCCTGGTCACCCTCCTGCTCCTCGGCCCTCACCAGATGCCTGTGTGGAGCTCAGACACTGGGCCCCCACCCCAGGCTCCCAGGGACATCTCTCCTTTCCCCCCATGGCTGGGGGCCGGGCACCACCTCCTTTCTTTACTTTGATTCCTTTCAAGAGTTTCATGAGAAGCCAGCTGATGGGAGGAAGAGCCTCCCCGTACAAAGACAGAGGCTGCTTCCCTGAGAAGGACCAGGGGCATCGGTGGCTTCCTGCTGCCTGCCGAACGGGGCTGCGGTGTGGGGCCAGGGCCCCGGTCCTCGCTACAGCCCTGCGGAAGCACCGGGCCTGCATGTTCCTGCCGACGGGGCGAGGGGAGCCCGGGGCTTCACGGAGCCACCACTGTGGGTGGAGGCAACTTGGCCCGGCACACCCAGAAAGCACTGACTGCGCTGTCCACGACAAGGACAGCCCCGGAGGCAAGCTGGAGCGCCCGTGTTTGTGTTGAGGAGGCACGGCCTTGCAGAGAGGACTGCGGTTTGTTTCAGAGCCTCCTGTCCCACACAGGTCTAGCGGGTCACAGCACTGCCAAATATAGGCTGGGGAGATGTCCACCCAGAAAACACCTGGGGTTCAAAGATGCAGCCAGGAGTTGCCCCCTCCTTTCAGGAAGAAAAGCTTCCCTGGCGAGCTCCTCTTCATTCCTCAATACCCTGCTCAAATGCTCCCTTGCTTCACCAGTGCCCTGGACAGAAAGAGACAGCTGTGCTCTGGGGTCTCACAGTCCCTGCCCCACAATCTGGGCCCCAACCCTGCAGCAGAGTCAATCCCCCCAGAGCACACACTGTATCCAAATAAATGAATGAATGAGGGAATGAATGAATTAGCAACAAGTCAATTGCTAAATGAACAAACAGGTGCGCAAACGCTGGTGTGCGCCACTCGTCCAAGCTCCCCTGTTGAGCAAACAGTAGGGTCAGCCTAAAACGTCCCAGTTCAAACCAGGCTCATACGGATTCCAACCAACCCAGTAAGGCTCAAGTCTTCTCTTTCACGGCCACCACCACATGTGAGGAAACACATGCACACAGAACAGGGAAAATAGAAAGGCAAAAATTAAATTAGGCGGCAGCCAGGAAAACGCCCACCGTGCAGAATATGAGCCAACTAATTTGTCTGGCCTCCCCTAGAAGCAGCCAGGTTTTAACTTGGGTCCCTGGGACCCGGCTCCTGAGGCGCGGGAAGGCTCACGGGAGAGGGGCAAGAATGTGGTTTCAGATGAGCAGACCCAGATTCAATTAGTTATCACTTCTGACCCCAAATCTCCCCACAGGCTCACGGGACTAATGAGGAGAGAGGCGGGGACGCGACTGTGAGGGTCCGCCTGGGCCGCGCGCCCCTCGCCCGGCCCGGGGCAGAATCTGTCAGGGTCAGCAGGGAGGTGTGCTCGCCTCACAGGCAACCTGTTCCAGTTTGGGGAGCCGGACGGGGCAGGACGCACAAGGACGAATGCAGCTGGGGGTCAGGAAGGCCAGCCCAAGCTCACCCAGAATCAGGCTCGGCAGCACGGGGGCCCCGAATCCATAGCCGGCGTGTAGGAGCCACACCCCTGCTGGCTCAGTCACACACCTCCTCCCGGATGCCCACGGATAGACGTTTCTAATACGGACAGACGAAACAAAGCCGGCCTCCATGACGCGCGCCAGATCCCCGAGACGCTCCCACCTGCCTCTGGCCCCCGCTTCCCCAGAGAGCCCTTCAGGGCGTGGAGGCCAGAAGGCAGCCGACGAGCCTGGCTGGGCCTCCAGGGTATTCTGGGTACGGCAGGACCCCTCTCGGCCAGGCGGAGACACCAGCTCAGCCCCAAAGGTGCCCCGGGCATCTGGACTGGGCGTGGCTGGGCTGGGCCTGCTCCTCCCTCCCCTGCCCTGCCAGAGGCCCAGAGGGGCCGGAGCTCCAGAGCAGACTCACTGCCCCTCCACGATCCCAGATAGTCCCAGGACAGGCTCATCGGTGATGCTGGAGGCACGGGGACCCCAAGCCGATCAGCCAATCAGTCTCCATCCCCCAAGGTGGCCTTGTGGCTCTACTCTTCCCTTCCCCGGGGCCTTTCTGACTTTGGGGGCCACCCTGGGGCCCACCTGGCCTGTTAGAAACCTGCCCCCAGGGACGCTAGGGTCTTCACTCCCAAAACGGCCCCACCACCAAAGCAAGTGAATTTCCGAGCTCATGTGCTCTGAGCCCTGAAGGTGTCTCAGCCCCTGCTCGGCACCTGCTGCCATTCCTCAGGAGACCTTCCCGAGGGCTGCGTGTGTTGCAGGGTCATAGGTCAGCAGGAAGTGGGCTCCCAAGCAAAGGCAGCTGAACCAGGGAGGCACCCAGAGCCCCATGCAGAGGCTGCTGGGGAGTGAAGGGCACGGCTGACCGCTGGGACCTGGCTGTCTTGTCAGGCTGTGACCACACCTCCTACAGCCCCCGAGGAACCAAGGCCTCAGCACACCCCTGCATGGGGCCCCCCACCCCAGGGAGCCCACAGCTGCTGTCGGCCTGGCCACAGGAGCCCTGCAAGGCTGCCTGCTCTGGTCACAGGGCTCTGGGCAGAGCCCCGGCTGCCTCCGGTGCTCCCAGCCCATGGGGAGGCCCCGCTGTGCACCGAGAATGCCCGGTCTCACGCTGGACAGCCCACAGCGGCCTCCTCGACCAGTGCACGTGCCCCAGTGCATTGAGGGCTTCCTTGCACTTTTCCAAGAATGTCTGTGATTCTGTTTCAAAGACAATCCCCAAAGGTACCACCTCACACGAGGCGCCTTTCTGAGCTCCTTCCGTAAGGACGTTAGCATGGCGCATCTCGGTAGTTGGACAGCCTGACTTCGGTGGCCGTGGGGACACCGTCACCACCTCCTGCCCGCCCGAGGGGGGATGGGGCCAGCCCGCGGGTGCCTGCCAGACCTGAAGCAGGAGAAGCCCACCCCCTGCACGCAGCCTCAGCGAGAAGCCGCAGGGGATGGACATCACCGCGTCCCCAGCCACAGCCCATCCGGCGGACAGCATGGCCCGGATCTGCTCCCTCTACCCACGGCAGCACCAAGGGGCCAGGAAGTCCTGCAGGCCCGCCCGGGACCCCGGCTCCTCGCCACCCACAGCCCCGCGGACACCACGCTGCAGACAAGCCAACGCTGCCCGGGGAGCAGTCACCCCGTGGGGACTGTCCAGCCCTAAGCCTGACCAGGAGAACAGGAGGCCTCTGCAGACATCCCGGGCTGGGGGAGGGGTGGGGTGGGCTGTGTCGGGCAGCACCTCGCTGCCCCTGCTTTCGATGGGGTCCCTGGTCGTGGGCTCTTACCGTCCACGCAGGCGGGCCGGGCTCTCGTGGTGCCCGCGATCTGCCCCTTCCTGCAGGCGCAGCGAGCCGTCTGCCGGGCGATCGTCCTCCGAGGCTGGCTGCTGTCCCGGTCCAGGGTCACAATCTCACACGTGCCGGCCGCCAGCTGACCTGCAAGAGAGGCACAGGCATGCGCTGAGTGTGTGAGGCTGGGGGACGAGCCGCCCAGCCCTCCCAGCCTCGGAGGCGCCCTGCTGGCCACGGGGAGGCAGGCCGCTTCCCCAGAGCACCCATCTCGGACACCTTCAAGGACGTCGTCGGAAACACGCGCCGGGGGGCAGGCGCCGGCTCATGCCCACGGCCTCCACTGTACACGGCCCCACGGTGGCATGCGAGGCCCCGCTGGGACAGGCAGGAAATTAAACGTGGCCCCATCTGCCACACCCGGAAATGAAAGGGCCGCGTCCCGCTGCCGGGCATGTGATGGAAGGAACCAGACGGCGCACAGCATGGAGATCCAAACCCACGCTGGGCCCTGGGGTCTCCGCGCCCACCTGGCCTGAGGGCGGTGGATGCAGCAAGGACCCTCCCCCGGGTCTGTTAAAGGCGGTGAGGGAGAAACTCCCTGCCGGTACAGGGCTGGCTGAGAGTGGCAGGGACGCGGCTGTCACTCTCCACGCCGGGCCATCCGCGGCCGCCCCTCCCCCACACAGGCTGGTGCACACACACTCGCACACTTAGCACGTGAGATGCACACACAGGCTACCGGATGTGCCCCTCTCTCCTGCTTTCCCATGTGGACATGGCCCCAGTTCCCCAAAGTTCGTGGGCACAGGACTGGGGACAGCAGGGTCCTTGGTCTGTCTCTGGGCCAGCACAGAATGCAGAGAAGGGAAACGCTGACTTTGCAGGGGACAAGTCAACCAGTGAAGTGGCCTCCCCCTCCCGTCTCCTAAATCACAGTGGGGGCGCCTGTCTGGCCGAGGGCCCATGGGGCCCACATCCCAGCAGACGCAGAACCCCACCTTCCGTAGGACGTTCCTCTGCTGGAGTACCAGCGTGGCCTCCGCTAAGTGCCGAAAGCTGACTCGGACGATAGAGATGGTGTCAGCTCTGGACGGAGGACAGACCAGATGAAATCCGGCCACCTCTCCCCATGGGAGATGGGAGGTCGTCCCTCACTCCGCCATGCAGCACCGGTCCATCCCCGGGCCGGGACACGGGCTGCCCCCTGGCCACGCAGCCACGGCCTCCCCCTGCATGCCCACTCCGGAGAACCACCAGAGGTCCCACTGACTCACGGCCTCGCACATCCATTCCCTCAGCAGATAGTAAGCACCTACTGCATGCTGTCTGTGATGTTGGACCCGGGAACCCAGATGCGAGCAAAGCAGATGGCACGGTGCCCCGAGGGGCTCCCCCCAGCTGAGAG